GTTTGAACTTAGAATTTCATTTATTTACTTCTCAAGACAGACAGCTGTTCAACTGTGCTGATTTTATGGTAACAACAAATAGCTCTCAGGTATTTTTGAAGAAGAAAAAAAAGAGACATACTTAATATGTCCCTCTAGGTTTTTAAACTTCAGTGAGGAAGTAGCTATTTTTCAAAAGAAATTTATATTATCCAATGCATATTTTTAATAGTCATTTGGCATTTGGTCCATCATGATGTGATTTTTAAAACTCAGAAAGAATAATAAAGTCTGTTATTTATAAAAACTTGTGTTCCTCAGCTTAAATACTTTGAAACAATCTGTTTAAATTTTTTCCAAATAAAAAGTTTAGTGTATTTTATACTGAGCAAAAATATGGAAACACTTCTCAGTTTACAAGAAATTTACTTTCAAAATTTCAACAAATGCAGTACAGGTGGATCAGATTAGAAACATAAGCATCACACTTGAATAAGGAAAACTAATGCCCAACTTCTATTGTATATGTATTTTTATAGTATCCTTTTCAGCTATAACTACTAAAATGAAGTACAGTATATTACAAACTCATCTTACAATTAAACTCTTGGATCAAATTTCAAAAAGTAATAAACCAAGTTTAAAAAATTATGGTGTACATTTAATCACTTTGCAGTGGAAAGCATTTTCTTAATATTTCAGTGTATTAGTTAGTTTTCCCTTCGCTGGGACAAAATACCTGACACCCATAACTTAAGGAGGGGAGCTTTTTTGGGCTGCATTTTGGGCCGCAGTTAGCTGGCTCCAAGACAAAAACATCATGATGGAAAGGCGTGGTAGAGAAAAACTGCTTAGTTCATGGCAGACAGGAAGCACAGTAGGGAAACCGTACCACAGAGGAGGGGGAGAGAAACAAGATATAGACCCCTGATGTGACACTTCTGTGACCCTTCCAGGTATACCTAGAAGTGTGCTCTACCTACCCCGGGACCAGTCCCAAAGCCAATCAAGGTGCACCTCCGCCCTAACTAGCACACTTAGGTAAAACAAAAAATTGTGTCTTTAAAACTATTAATTCACTGACCATTTAAAAGGACGATCTCTTCGTATCATTGATTTTCGCTGTAGTTTATGTGTTTTCTACTCTCTTGTTCATCATTAAGTATGCTACTAGATGATTTTTATCAAGTTGAAGTTCTTGTCTATCTTTGACTTGTTGAGAGTTTTCCTTATAGATGAATGATAAATTTTGTGAAATGCTTTTTCTGTATCTATTAGATAAGCTCACATACTTCTTTTCTTTTTAGTCTGTTGATATAATGTGATGAAATACGCTAATTTTTAAATATCGAAACAATCTTGTACCCCTGCGATAAACTACAATTGACAATGATGTACTGTCCTTTTTATATATTGCTTAATTCTGTTTTTAAATGTTGTTAGGGATTTTTATGTTCAATGATATGGGTCTAAAAAGGATTGATAATCTTCTAACAATTCTACAAGCAGAGGAATTACTCTGATTTTGATTTTCTAGATTTCCATGTACTTCAAATTCCTCCATGCCTTGACATTTTTATTTCATGTTGATGCCCTTATAGTGATCTCTATTCTGAATGATCGTCTCTCACAGTACTGAATTTGCCCTTGGCACCAAACATTTCCATACCTAAAGCTGCATAAGTCACTGGTTCTGGTTTATTCCCAGTGGTGACTTTTTTGCCAGGTACTTCTTAGGCCCTGCTTCTCTAACATATGGTAGGTGGCACACTCTGCCTGTGTGGAATTTAGTATCTTTTGACAACTTCTGGAATTCCTCAAGTGACAATAAAAGTAAATGAAGCATCTCTCAGTGCCGGCATTTCTGGGCTCACTGGGCCTTTACATCTTGCCCTTCTTGAAGCTTTCTGCTTTGCTGTATCCTAAATTTCTCTGTATCCTTGTTCCCCAGTGATATTCCTTTTTTTTATATAACCACTTTTCTCCTTTGGCTTTTTCTGATAAGAGTATAGATATACTCAAATATCTCTCAAATTAAAACTACCTTTCTTGGGGGCTGGGGATTTAGCTCAGTGGTACAGCGCCTGTCTGGCAAGCGCAAGGTCGTGAGTTAGATTCTTAGTACCGGAAAAAAAACCAAAAAAAAAAACCAAACAAACTACTTTTCTTAAGATAGACAATTTAAATCAATAAACAAATGCACAAACCTTGGCTGTTTAGTTGCTAACCTATATCTTTCCTCTTCATAGCCAAGTTCTAAAATGAGTAATCTATCTTCATTGCCTCCATTTGTTTCTTTGTCTTTTGGTAATCATGCAGTATGAGTTTGTTTTCACCTCCAACATTCCAGAGACTGAGGGCACCAATAACCTGAGAAACTTTAGTTACATACCATCTTGGTAGAATTTAATATTTTCTCCTTTGAAGACTGTTCATCGTCTATTCACGTGTTGTCTGTCTCTGGCACTTACATAATCACTCTGTGGCTGTCCATCTTAATTATTGATTCCACCCAAGTTTATATCATTGCTCCTCATTGTCTTTAGATATTGTAAGAGTCTCAAAAAAACTTAGAGAGTAGATTAATTTATTAATCCTATTCATCAGAATAATACAAGTTAGCACTTTTTGAGCACTTATTACATGCCAATTAGCTTGCTGAGTACTTTAGGTATCTTCTTATTTAATTTCCTTTTTTTACAGCTTATGAAGTTATTACTAACAGTACTCCTTAAGTGCAGCTACTTGTATCAAGAGCGAGAGAGCTGATTTAAGTCTTTTGACAGCGGAACCTGTGCCTTTAACCGTGGTTCTATCTATACTGACAGATCCTGAGAACGAGGTGCCCGCGGATGTAAAGAAAAAGTAGTGAGAGAGACAAGAAAAACGAGAGACATACGTCTCGGATCAGGAGGCTTACAGCCTGTCGGACTGCAGCCCCGATTACCAATGTCAGTCACCTGTTATTGAGTGAGAACCCAGGGTGTAGCTAGTACAAATGGGCGAATACCAAACATCTTAGTAATTAAAGCATTATCTTTCTCCAGTTCTGCCTCTTATGCTGCTGGCAACAATCCCCTGGTGGGCCTCCTACACCCAGCACCAGGCTCATTCAGTTCAGCTGGGGGTTATAAATCCACTACAGTCACAGTCCTTACTTCCCATTAATTTTTGCAATGCATGGCAAGACTGAAAAATAGGGATCTCCTGCAATTCAAATACACTCTTATCTTCAGGTGGAAGGTTTCAGTTCATTTTTGCAACAATAAGCAAATCATTGTGTGTCCTCAGTGCTTTCTAATCAAAGAATATCCTGCACATTTAACAGTGATATTGTTAATGCCTATGACTTCTACTGCCATCTTTGTGATTTCCAGACCTTTCTCCTGAGGTTTAGAACTATAGCCACAGTGATAAACTCTGCAAAGTCATCACATACAGACCTAGACTCATGATCTTCATTTCAAATATTTCCTTTTCCAGTGTTGCTTATCTTAGTGAATAACAAACACCATCCCATGCTCTTTTACAATTAGAAACGTTAAAATGTTTTCTCATGCTGTTTCCGCCCTCTAATCTTCAGTCCCCACATTCTGCCAAGTGTCTCTCCTCTTAGCTGTCTACCGTCACCTCACCTCACGCGCATCTCTTCTTCCTGTACCCTAAATCGAGCATTGTTAGCCACCTCGGTAGTCCCCTTGTTTTCAGTCTCTAACCTGCTCCCAATTCATCCTATATTTTTTCTGCATTTGCAAGCGAGAATCTGATCACGTTATCTGTCCCTAACAAAAATTCTTCAGGGGATTCTTATTGTTAGCAAGGCAAGATTTAATTGTTTGTACCATGACATATCAGGCTTTTTAATATGTCACTTCCTAACTCTTCCACCTCACTCCTTGATAACTCCTCCCCTCCCCCAACCACACACAGTTTATACAATTCACCAGTAGTGCTTGCACTTGCTGGGACAACACGTTTTCTCCCACCTTATTTTCTCAGTTTGGGACGGCCTCTGTTCTGTTCCTCCAACTTTACCTGTCGTCGAGGTTTCTTTCAATCATCAGCTTGTGTGTTCATTATTTCTGTGACAACTTCCCTGAATTTCCCAGAGGAGGTTTTTCCTTTTTCCTCTGTGCCCATGATTCAACTTGGAGGCAAGTCAGTTCAATCACAGCTTAAAGTACAGTAAAATTATTTGTTCTTCATTTGAATTTAATGAGATGGCTCCTGTATTTTTACAAGTATATGTCCCGATGATGCATATTTTTCCTGGATATGATCCACAATTGTCTAGTGCAGATTCTCAGTAAGAATTTTGACTCACTGAAGAAGCGTACAGAAGAAGAGAGTAAAGAAGGGGAAGGATAGCAAAACAAAGGGAACATTGCTAGAGCTCTGAGAAACTATTGTACACAGAGGCCTTGAGAATGTCTATCTCTTGTTATGTTAAATATGCTTGGATCACCCAATGCTAAATATTTAAATGAGATCCGAGGCTTTGAGTCTTTATCTTACTTAACCAAGGCTACAACTAAAATTATTTTATGCCTAAATATACCAAATAATGTACTCTTCCTGCTTCCTTAGTAAGACAAAACATTGTCCCAAGGATGTTTATTCTCTGGATGTGCTCTATCCTGGTACTTAGATCTCACTTATTATCATTTTTAAATGTTTCTTCCTTAAACTGTTCCAATTTCCTTCCCAAGAGTTGCCTTCCAAGGCCTGCTCCTGCTCTTATCCTGATTTGCCTCTTGCAGTTTTTCTATCATACTAATTGTTCTTGTAAAAACTGGATTCTTATTTTCCCTCCGTCCGACTTCTATTCTATGATTCCTAATTGAAAGACTGCATTTGGGTTTCTCACAATTTATGTTCTGCTCTGAGGAACATTGTGTTTATATCACAGCACAATATAAAAGGTTCCTAATTGTAGTTGCTGCAGAATTCTTTAAATTAACAACAAAGCTTTCTTCTGTCTGTCATAATAACAGTTGTATTTTGTTCTCTTGATTTTCAAAGCATGCGAATCTTTCCTCAATTACCTGCATGGAATGCCAGGCCTCCAAGACCACCTGAGACAGCACAGGCCCTCACTGCTGCTACTCTGCTACTTTCAAAACCCACTAAGCTATGCAGGATTTACAAAAGTTTTCAATGGAAGTGATCTCCACTGGAGCCTGTAGGTAACTTACATTTACTTTTGATTAAATTAGATCTCTAGAAGGTTCCATGATTATACCATATTAAGTCTTTCATGGAACTAAATAGACTGCTATGTTTTAAAAAAACTCTTGATGTTAATAGAAGGTTGTTCGAAGAAAAAAAATCGGAAATCCACTTTTATATTTATTATTTCATTTGATTATAAAACTATTGCTGCAGACATTTTCTTAAGTAATATAACTTAATACTCAGTCCATAAAAGTGCTAAATGAGATACTTCTTTTAGAATTTAGTTGTAGAGAATGAATAGCCTTTCCAGAAGCACTGGCATGGCTTCATACTTTTTCCTGATGATAATTATAAAATACTTTATTTACACCCCATTGCCTGCCCTATTGGTAGGTGCTACAATACTCAGAGCAAAATGTGATGCATGAGTAGTCCAACTATGTCAATGCTTTAAAAGTTTTGGGCTTTTTTTTTTTTTTAATATAATGCTCCTATAGCATTTGCCATGTTCTCATACAAAAGAACATTTGAGTTTGCTATGCCAGGTATATTTTAATTACATCACAATAATACCAAACTATTAAAGTAAAAAGTTATTTGTGGACTCTTTAGAAATGTTTCACATACAGTCAATGAAACACATCATTAAACTATGTTAAACTGTAGGATTGGCTTATTTTATCCTCCTACATCTGGTTCTGCCTTTCCATTTAATAACTATATTGTGTATGTCTTTTACTGCCTCAGAATTTCTTTGATAAGGGATTCATAAATGCAGTTGGCAGAAATCTAAGTGCAAGTAGCTTATGTTAAAAAAATAAGTGAGTCAAATCTATTGGTCTCATAACTGTGGAGTCCAAGAAAGACCTGGTTTCAGATCGAATGGTATCAGGAGGTCGCAGCCTTTAATTCTTTGATCTTTCAGCATTATCCTACACAGACGGGATTCTCAGGCAGGCTCTCTCCGTGTGCTGGTTCTCTGCAGCTCCAGGATTCATCACCAATCAGTTTAGCAAAAAATTCACAGAAAAAGGTAACAAAACCAAACACTCTTCCCTTCTACAAAACAGTCTCAGACCTGTGTCAGCCCTGACCAGAGTCCAGTAGCCATTACTGACTCAGTTACTCTGGCATGATATTTACACTGTTGTGACTGATAAAGCTAGGGTCATGCAACTTGGGAGGATGGGTGAGTTCCACCCACATCACATATGATAGTAGTGGCTTAGACAGGTTCCTAAAGGAAAAGAGGCTGCGGCTGGCAGCAGAGGGCAAATGAGTGCCAGGTGATAAAAAATGTCAGCTGCATATCGCAAATTAGGGCTGCCAGATTTAGGGGGAGGGGATGCAAGATATCTAAGTACATTTTAATTCCAAATAATACATGATTTTTAGCATAAATTACCCCATGCAATATTTTTGGGACAGTTTATACTAAAAAATTATGTTATCCCAAATTAAAACTTAACCATGTGCTCTATATTTTATCTGGCAACCCTACCAGAAGGTTTATAAATAAATTCAATTAGAAAAATGTAAGGTTAAGGTTAACTTTCAAGGAATGGGTATATAAGTAACTTTATACCAGGCAGCCACTTAATCCATCTATAATTATAGAGGATATAAGTATTATAACACTATAGTAAAATATTTATTTATTGCACTAGCCATGATTGAACCCAGGGCCTTCATGCTGAGCTGCATCCTAAGATCTTTTTTATTTTTTATTTTTAGACAGAGTCTCACTAAGTTGCCCAGGCTGGGCGTAGACATGTAATTCTCCTGCCTCAGCCTCCTAGTGTATACCACCACACCTGGCTTATAATTTAATTTCCATTATCAAAGGCAAAAAGTTGATCTCAGTAATTTAAGCAACTTGCTCTCACCTTATTTTTGTAAGTTTCACTGATAGTTTAAGTATCTATGTTTTCTACCTTTTGGGCTATTCATCTGGATAAGACCTGTCAATGAAATATTTTTTTACTTATTTGGCACTATTTTTGTTTGTTTGTTTGTTTTGTTTTTTGGGTTTTATTTTTGGTTTTTCTCTGGTACCGGGAACCAAACTCACGACCTTGCACTTGCCAGGCAGGCACTTTGCCGCTGAGCTAAATCCCCACCCCCATTTAGCACTTTTGGATATGTGAAACTACCTAGGGCTTTTGGGTTGCATTTCTGTGGCAGCAGTTGTCGCAGTACATCCTCAGTTCCTCCTGAGACCAGGAGTCCCAGGATGTTTCTTCCCTCTGTCATCTCATACACTTGTGCAAGACAGGTGGATTCATCAGTGTGCATTGTGTGTCGGCACCACCCTGATTTTAGTCATAGCAAAGCAGCTACCTCTTGAGGAGGACTGTCCATCCAGGGATTCTGATGTTTGTGATCCAGGTGCCCTGTGGCCCAGGTCGGGACAAAGAAACAATTCTCCTCTGCAATTTGCATTTCGAGGAGTTGAAAGGAGTTACTCTGCAACCAAAAAATAAAAAAATAAAAGGAATTGCTTCATTCTGATGGTGCAGAGTTGAGGAGAGTGTCTGCGAGTTCCTCTGGTGCCGTCCTGGGCAAATGATGTTGCCTTTGTGTCTCATATATGTGTGAGCATTGCCATCCTTCTAATAATTTCTTTCTTGTACTCTGAAGTCTGTTTCTGATTTCAGAGCCCGCAATCCTTTCTAAGTAGATGTCATATCATTTTGACACCTCAAATTCTGTTTCTCATGTGAGCTTATAAATTCACAATAAGGACATAACCGTGCTAAGGTAGAATTTCTATGACACTGTCACAGTGAAAGAAACACAAGTAATGAGCTTCTAACCTATGTCTGTTTAATATTTCTCCAACCCAACTCAAACAAGAGGATCTTCTTTAGTTAACCTGTCCACTGCCTCAAGTATCTGATATGTTCAAGATGCTGTGTAAGGCTCTGAAGATTAAGAGGACAATTTGGGATTCTCCAGTTTCCTAGGAAGTCACCTGTGAGGTGGAGTTTAGTAGTAGGCTGTGTACAGCAGTTCCCACAGGCTCTGCACCAGGGGAAGAGAAGGGACAGGAAGAGTAAGCAAAAGGAAGACTTACAGGTTGAAACAGAAAGTTCTGGCTCACTCAGTGAAACCTTTGAAGTTAGAATTGTCCTGCATGGTATTCTCAAGAGGGTGACAGTTAGTTGTTTGTATGAGCTGCTGAGAAGGAGCATGGTCTTGAGTGAGGTGGTTGTCTGCAGTGGAAGCGGCCTTCTAGCGGGCTGGTAGCTAAAGGCTGTTTGCCAACAGCCCTTCAAGCAGCTGGGGTAACAAGCTCTCCTGGAAGCAGAATCTGAGTGATGCATCCCAGTGTCCACTGCAGTTAACCACCGAGTGCAGGAGATTAGGAGATGCAAACAGCGGTCTGCTGGTAATTTGTGTAGTCCTTTGGCAAATAATCTCACATAATAATTATAGCTGCCTCAAATCCATAAGGAATGAAAACAAAAATTTCACTACTTACTAACATGAAGAAAAATGTGATAGAGATAAAGATTTTTGAAAAATAAAAACAATTAGTCATTAAAGAGACAGGGTTTTCTTTTAAATACTGAAAGTTAGCCTGAATATAATATCTATAAAATGGATAAATATACCTTTAAGAGACATTCACTGCATTGTTCTTATTTATATTATTTTGTCCTGAGCAGGGGGAAATGTCACTAATAGTTTGTCTGTGGACTGGCATTTGGAAATCACTGGCATCCAGAGGATGGGATATGTCTATCCAGTGGATATGTAAAAACAGCTACCATGGATTTGCAGGAAACACCTAGCAGGAAAGGTAACGTTAACACCGGGTAGCTCGGGGAACTGATACCAAGATGCATGGGGCACGTGGGTTCCGGCCGAGTGCTGAGGATAGGCAAAGGCACAGACTGGGACTACGGGGTGTGGCCACACAAAGAAGGGTCAGCCTGCTCAGGAGGGTTATTAGTCACATAGAGAACACTGGTGACTAGTTGAGGGTTGAAACTAGAGTTCACTGGGGTCAGATTGTTCACTAGACAATGGAGAAGTAGTACAGGTTTGTGAACAACACTTTACATGATTAGAACTGTACTTCAATACAAGTAGCTTATCAGGAAACAGGTTTTATTTATTACATGTGCTTAAAATAGAATATGTGGCAGGATTCTGTGTTTCCTATTGTTGGAGTCTGTGAACAGTAAAGGAAGAGAGAAATTAGTGAGATGGCACTGACAATATGTAGGACGAGATAGATATGGTTAGGAACAGAATCACTGGGATTCAGCAGTTTATTGGGCTGCTCTATGCCCTAGGGGAAGGGACTTAAAGGGAAATGGTGTTAGTTTCATTAATAGAGGAAAAGTAAGGGAGAGAGATTTTGTAAAGAAGGCAAAAAGTCCAGGTACAGGCATCATGCATTTAGTGTGTTGCCTTGGGATGAGCAGACTGAAGGAAAGTTTTATTTCTAAAAAAGCCTTAGGTTTCTTGCCGTTGTAACATGGAGAGTTCAGCTTTACCTGGCAGTGAAATCAGGGCACGCTCCCTTTGTCCTTTGCAGTGGGTTTTCTGAATCTCTTGTGCAGGGAACTCTTTCTTCACTCTTCATTGGGATCAAATTTCAGTTGACACTAAGCCCATGCAAAATGGGCTCTTCCTCTGTGTAGATTTCAATAGCTGCATATCAAGTTTGCTGTGCTTTAGCGCTATTGATATTTTGGTGCATATTTTCTTTTACTTTTTTTTTTTTTAACTCTAAGAGCTGTCCTGTGTCTTATAAGATGGTTAGTGACATCTCTGGTCTCTATCCTCTGGTTGCCACTAGTACCTCCCTCTACTGCAACCAACAGAAATGTCCCTAGACATTGTCAAAGGTCTCTTTAGCTGACAAAATACCTCAATTAAGAAGCATTACAATATATGTGCATGTAGATATAGAGCTACTGATATAAACTGACCTTGATGTGATCGATAAATATCCTTATTATGTGATCGATAAATATCCTTATTAATCCATGTTTGTGATTAATGATGAAATGGCCAATTGATGGTATTCTGACAACTCTCTGACCAATATTTCTGTCCTCATTTATATAAACTCAATCTATTGTTGTATGGCCACTAGTGAAATTTACTTTTTGTGCTCCTTTGTCTTTACCTCATAGAGTCATAGTTATGTTAAGAAATTATCCTAAGTATCAGGGAAATATGTCAATTGCAAGTCTCTAGCATAATTCTGTAGCTATTACTTGTATTTGAAGTTGTGTGTAATTTCAGTTCCCTAAGCTTGTTATTCTCTTCAGCTCATCATTCATACGTTGTGGTATTCCTGTGTATTTTTTCACATATGTTCAAGTGCTGGAACTATGCTATTATGTTTCATCTCAGTATTAAATACTGCCTGTTGGGAGTGGCTGGAAAGTAAGACGAAGCCAGCCTGAGAACACCAGAGTGCCTCGAGCACGTAAAAAAGCCATTGTAGCTTGTTACCCGATTGCTGGGCAACAAGGTGGAAATTAACCAACCTCTCCAGGGTACAAATAAATGCTCTACTGTTCTTGGGCAGTTCCCCTTCTCTGCTCAGAGGGAAAGGAGCTCCACCTGATCCCAGCTTTTTATCTCTTGTCTATTTTTATTTCATTCTCCTACTGTTCCTTTCCAGAGTACAGTAAGAACCCAACCAATCCGTACAACTGGCCACAATTTAGAACACTCTGGTTGTTGTATCTGACTTTTGTGTTATGGTACTTTGCACATGATACCAACTCTTGGTTTGCTGGTTAGCTTTGTGTGTCAGTCACCTTGGCAGTTCACAGGGTACCCCTTTTAACATTTCTGAGAATGTGTATGAGAGTGTTTTTGGTGACGTTAGATTTGAATTGCTGGACTCAGTAAAGTGGATCACTGTCCTCAAATGTGGATGAGCAACAGCTGATCTTTTGATAGCCTAAAAAAATAAAAGACAGAGGAAGAAATATTTAACCTCTTTTGCTTTCTCTATGCCTTCTTGAGTTGAAATGTCTCATTTCACCTTCAGCCATCAGCTTCTCTAGTTTTCAGGCCTTCAAACTTGAGCCAACTTATAACACTGGTTTTCCTGGGCGGCCAGCTTTCAGACAGTGGAATGCAGGACTTCTTAGTCTCCATAATTGAGCCAATTGCATTAATAAATCTCTTTTTGTTTATATATAAAAAGCTAGTGGTGAACCACAGTCCAAATTCCAGAGGCTGGTATATGTGTATATTTCCTACTGGCTTTGTTTCTCTGAAGAATCTTTTAACTACTATACTTGCAGTTGGAAAGAAGTCATTAAAACTGGAAGCAGAGGGGTTATTGGATAGATTCCATAGGTAGCAGCTACACCAGTCAAGGTTCAGTCCTGGTCCAGTGGGCGTGAAGGGTGCAGGTTTTAAAAGCGGGGCATCTCAATGGGTGGAAAGAACATCTTGGGTAACTGAGATGTGATACTTTGACAGCTAGAGATGTCAAATCCGAAGAAGGAAAACATCAAAGATTGGAATTTAAAAAAAAATGCAGTTCTTCATTTTAGTGGTGGGAATGAGTGACTAGGCAAAAAATTGAGAAGGAAACAAAGAATTAGAGACAATGCACTTATTGATCTATGTCATGTGGAAACTGTGACTTGTGAAATAGTAAGTAAAATCATTGGTAAAGAAGATCTCTTTGTTACAAAATTATACAAAAATTAGTGTAAAGCCAAGCTCTGCCTGATGAAAGCTGCTTGGGCCCTTTCTGCTTCAAATCAGAAGCAACTGCAGTAGGATTGGCAGATCAAAGGTGATCTGCCACATGAGGGGCAATGATCCTGAGAGCTGATACTGATAATGAGCTAGGTCTGATGACAGGCCAGAGCACACGCATGGAAAAGAGCCAATAGTGGCCAAGCATGGTGGCACATGCCTGTAATCCCAGCACTCGGGAGGCTGAGACAGGAGGATTATTGTGAGTCTGAGACTAGCCTAGGCTACAAAGTGAGGTCAAGGCCAGCCTGAACTGCATAGCGAGACCCTATCTCAAAAAAAAAAAAAAAAAAAAAAAAAAAAAGAAGAACCAGTGGTATGTACTGGTGATGTCTGCTAAGATCCACATGTTTTGATTTGGTGACTTCATTTTCAGTGTAATTAGAACTTATATCCCTCCTATAGAGGGTTTTAATGATAGTATAATCTGTTCTTATTTAAGAAGCTGTTGGCAGTCTTTGAAGATTTTTTCCCATGATTCTTACTCAGATTTATTCTTCACTTCTTTGAATTTATTGTCAATTAACAATTTTTTGCCATTCATGCAAGAGATGGCCTGTGTCTTCTTCTTATATGAATATTTGTTTGTGTGCTCACAAAGAGAATCATATGAACTCTGATTTATCAGATTTGAGCCTAGTTTTACATATTTAAAATTAGATATTTATAAGTTCTGTTAATACTTACCTATTTTCACATAATGTTGGATGTTAGTCTTTTTAACTCATTGCCTTTTTCCTATGGAAGATTAAGATAAGTAAAAGTTGATCAGTGCCTGAAATTATATTATTGGGTTTTAAATTTTGAATAAATTTTTACTGATTCAACTTTATACTAGTTCAAAAAAGAATGAGTGTAGTGCACTTAGATAATTTGGGATAAATTTTATCACACAGAGTGAGTTTTAGCATGGATTTCTTGGGTGGTATTTGCTTTCAACCATTTGGTTTTACTTTGAGGTGTGTTTGTGTGTACATGTGTGTATACAGTTTCTGTACAGCAACAAACTCCTTGCTTGAGTCAAAACTTTACTGTTTCTTTTACTTAAATTCTTTAGGTTGATGATTCAGAAATCAAAGATATCAAATCCAGACAGGGATTTTTTAGTTGTTAAACTGTGTTTTTATCTTCTTTTTCAATGCCATTCTTTGTTTTAATTTCCCCTCTCAAACTTCAAGCTATTGTTTTCTTTTGTTGTTTATTTTTGTTTTAGACACAAAGTCTGGCTATGTTGCCCAGGCTGGTTTTGAATCTGTGAACGCAAGCAATCCCTGCACCTGTGCCTCCCCAGTACCTGGGGGGGTACAGGTATAGATCTCTACTTATGGCTTGGTTTCCTGGCTTTTAATGAATGAGTTCATTTATGCAATCAGTCAGTCAGTCAATCAATAAATCCAACTATTCTTCCATTTATCAAACGTTTGTTTCACACTCTGTTCTATGCCACAGTCTGCCAGGCAATGGCATCGAGTGACTGAGCTATTGTTTCACTCACCCAGTGTTTTGCCCAGATGCTCCCTAGCCTTGACTTCTGTCATCAGAGTCTATTACTTTTACCTCTTCTTCCTGTGAAGTCTGCCCCTGCTGCCTTATTTCCTTCCTAAATCAGATGCTTAACTCTTACTATTGTGATAACTAAAACTACTAGTTTATGAATCTCTCCTCTCCTGTGATTCACATTCAATACTTCAGTCATAGGAGCTCTCTGAAATGCAAATCAGATTTTGTCACAAGCTACATACTAGTATTTTCCATGCCCTCATGATGAAGTCTAGATCACTGACATTCCTTCAGGCTTCTCCTGATGGGTCATAGATATGTCACTTGGCTCATCTCTTTGTCCTTCCTCCCTGAATTTCTTCAGGTTCTTGAAGTGTATTCTGTCTTTTGGGGGAGTTCTGAGGCCCTTTCCCTTCTGACTTTTCACTCCCACATTCTTTGTCTTGTACCTCCTTCTTTACTTTTTCTAGCTAATTCCAATTTGTCCTTAGTATCTCACCCGGGATCCTACTAATTCCAGGAAACCTTCCTGAGCTAGGGCTTGTTTCCTTCCTTCATGCACTTTTGCAATGGACAGTTCTGAAACTGTTTTTCTTTCTGCGTCCTTTCATGTGCATCATGAAGGTGGGGAGAACGGATTTTCACTCTGCATTTCTCCTGCCTAGGTTACTGTTTGTTACACTGTAGGTGCCACTTAAGCAGTTGGATGAATACATGAGTGAATGAATGAGAGAACAACGCATTAGTTATTAAAAATATTTATAAATTGTTATAAAATGCTGTGAAAGGCTGTGTCTTTGATTCCACACCATAACTATAAATAGGAAATAAGCAATGACTTTGTTGTTAGTCCTGAAAGACATTTAAAATAAGACAGAGAATGGATTCACCATTCTTGTGTAATGCATAAAATACTGAATGTAGCCAATTTGCAGCAGGAACTGAGATTTAACCTTCTTCATTCTAATCTTTCTTTTTTTCCTACCTATTACATGATACATTAAAAGAGCCCCCACCTACCCTTTTTCATTATTCTCCAGATGAATCATTAAAATAGCAAACATCCCTAGACCACTAATGAATGGCAAGCCCGCTACACCAGAACTCAGAAGACCTACAGCTGTACAGAAAACCAGAGACCGCATATATATGGAGAATGCAAGTTCATCCTGGCCAGGCCACTGTAGCCCCACTTGAGAGGAACTGCATCTGAAGAGCTCTCTCAGGAGCACCCTGCACTTCCTAGTCCATAAATCATCTTAAATAGTTTTTAAATTTCCAGTGTTTATGAAATTTTAAGAAACTATATCAAGTGAGGCATATTTCCACACATCTCTGCATTCACATCACCTTAATGTGCGCATAAATCCTTACACAACAGGGCTCTCAACTTTACACTGGACTGGGTCCACAGCCATGACGAAGGCGTTATGGGCATCTTTTGGAAACTTACAGGAAAAGACAGGGAGCACCCTGATTTTCATGGGCTGATTGACATGAAGACCTGTGTTTTGGGCTTTGAGAAGTTTTTATTGGAAGCAGAGAATGCATTGCATCCAAAAAATGCAATGGATGGCAACTTGTCTCTTTTATGACCTTGTAATACATCAGAACCCTTTGAGAAAAGTGTTTTGGGTGGCAGCAGAATAAACTACTTTTATGAGAGAAGACAGTATTTGGGAAAGGGATAGTGTCTACACTTGAAGTGGGACACAGAGCTCCATTAGCACGGTGAGTTATGAGTGGAATGCGGTACCTTTTAGTTGTTAAACTGTAGATTTGGTCTGCAGTTTAAGGACTGGGACACCTGCCTCACAGAGAGATAGCTTTGGAAGTAATGCTACACCCCTTCAAGTGAGTTCTCACCCAGGCTAGTGAAAAGTTTGGTTGTGAGCACAAGCAAGGTATCCTTGCAAACTTTGAAAAAAATAATTAAGAATTTTACAATTTACTGTTTTCCTATGAAAAACAAGGAGACCAATAAGCTCATCAGCTTTGAGTAACTGCAATGTATAAAAGCCCAAAATGATGGTGTCAGGGTGGCATGGGTGCAATTCCTTAGCCTAACACTGCTATCATGACCTTTTTATGTGAGAAATTCTCTCATCACTGTTTATATTTGCTCTGTGAAAATTAGTAGCTACTAGCTACTTCTGTCTGTTGAATACTTGGAATGTAGCTGCTTTGAATTAAGATATACTATAATTGTACAATACACACCAGACTCTGAGATGGTATAAAAATAGTATAAAATATTAACAAATTTTCTTATGAGTTAAACTTGAAATAATATTTTGAATATACAGAGTTAAATGAAACATATTACAATTAATTTCAGATATTTCTTTTACTTTTTTAAATGTGCTTGCTAGAAAATTAAAAATTATACTTGTAGCCTGGATTATACTTCTGCTGGACAGGGCTGAATGTCCAGTAGAGGGCTAAATTCTATTTGTTTTACTTTTTAATTCATACATGCAAAATGTTTCAGCTTGAGAAAATGATAAAGAAGAACAGGTTCTTTGTTTTTATTTTTCATTTTTTTCAGGTGCTTAAAGTACTGTTAGCACTTGCTTCATTTCATCATATACTTGATATGAATTAATTAAAAAGAAGATTTGTTTTCATAAAACTCTGAGCATCTTTTAGATTGCATCCTAGATAAGTGTGTTTTGATTATGAACAGAATGTTATTGTTATTAAAAGTATTCAGCTCAGAAAATGTGCTAATGAAAATCAGAATTATTTTAATTCTATCATGAGCTCATTTTCCCAATTGCCTCATTTTATATTTCTAAAAATGGAAATTTACGACAAGCAGCAGGGCAAATTTCTTCATTAATGTTTTTGTTTCCTTCTATAATTTTTGTTAATCTTGAATAACTAGGAGAAATAGCAGATGAATAGCTAAAATTCAAAATTATTACCTTTATTTTCACTACTATTTTGAAATACATTTCTAGAGAAGACTTCCAGGAATAGCATGAGGAACTCTACTTTCACGTAGAGGCATCAGTTGTTCTTTTCAGGCCACGTTTCTTCGTTGCCTGCCTTCCTCCCCTCTTTATTTCTGTTTATCTACTTGCACATTGCTTTTCCATAAGCCTTTTGATAGGAGCAGATACTGTCTTTCTTTAACATTCAACACATCAGTATTTTCTAAGAATAAAGATTTTATGTTATAACATCAGAAGTGATCAAATTCATGAACTTTAACACTGGTTAAATGCAATTATGTATTATCTAATACATATTTAAATTTTGCTGATTGTTCAGGGTCCAGTTTAGCAGCATGCCCAGTATTTAATTGCTTTTTTCCCCTGTTTCTTTTAATTAAGAACAATTTCTAGCCTTCTTCCTCTTTTTTCTTTCATGGCTGATATTTTAAAGAGTTCAGACCAATTTTATGTTGAGACAGCTCAGGCTGGCCTCGAATTCATTGTGAGCCTCCTGCCTCAGCCTCCAAATATTGGGATTACAAGCATGCACCACCATGCCCGGCTTGAGACCAATTGTTTTGCACAATGTTTTTTTTCCTAGTGATGAGATGATAGTTATGAGCATTTTGAGAAGAATATAAGAGCAATACTGTGATCTCAAGCATTATGTCAGTAGCACATAATTTCTTTTTGCCATTTTGGTGATGCCTATTTGGTTGAAGTGAAATTCATTATGTTTCTGCAATATAAAATTATAATTTTTCCTTCATAATTAATAAATGATCAATAGAGAGATCCTTCACTAAACACCCTGTTCCTTTTCAAGCTTTTACCCATAATTTTAGGTTATCTTGATGTTTCCTGAATTAATTATACTATTTCATATTTTTTAATCAAAAAAATATATTCCAAGAGATTCCATGCAGTAGATATGACAATACAAATGGATTCTGATAAGCAGATCTTATGGGAAATGAAAAAAAAGTGAAACAATTATACTTTCCTCCAAAGATTATTATTTTGGAAAAATAAAGCTACTTACATACAAATGTGTTATTCACAATAATATGCAACTGGTTTAGGTAAGGTTCCAGCTTCCATGTTTCAGTGAAATTGTGTTATGTTAAAATGAATTAATAAGTATTTTAAAAAAATAGGCAAGGACTTTCTGAACAGAATGCCAGTTGCACAGGAAATAGCTCTGAGAATCACAAGTGGGATCATATTAAATTAAAAAGCTTCTGCACAGTAAAGTAAACAAGAAACAGAGTGAAAAGACGACCTATAAAATGAAAAAAAAATTGCCAGCAATTCCTCAGAGGACTCATATGTAGAATATATAAAGAACTAAAAAAAGAAAATTAGACCTCCAAACAAAAGACCCAGTCAAAAAATGGGCAGGTGAAATACACAAACACTTTACAGAAAAAGTACAAATAGCCAGTAAATATGTGAAGGAGTGCTCACCATCAGTGACCTTTAGAGAAATGCAAATTAAAACAACATTGACATTCCATTTTACTCTAGAAAGAATAACCATCATCAAGAAATCAGATAATAACAATGCTGAAGAAGCTGGGGAAGGGGAGGAAATCTTGTACACTGTTGGTGAGAATGTAACTTAGTACATGAAAATTAGCATGGAGATAAAAACAAAAACTAGCAATTCCATGTGACCCAGGTATTCACCTTCCAGGTATCTTTCTAAAAAAATTAAAGACCTCATATTACAGAGATACATGCCTATCCATGTTTATGGTAGCACAAGAAATAATAGCTAAATCTTAGAAGCAGGCCAAATGTCCATCTACAGATGAATGAATAAAAAAATGTGGTATTTATATACCATGGAGTACTATTCTGCCATAAAGATAAACTTGAGACATTTGTAGGAAAATGGATGCACCCTGAGACTATAATTTTAAGTAAAATAT